TCAGGCCCCAACTGTTGACACAGGCCTTCTCCTCCCTCTCTCGGCACAGGGCATTCAAAGTGTATGAAAACTGGCTTTCCAGACGCTGTACCCTCCTGCCCACCATCACACACCCTCTCCATGCTTGCAATTCACTCCGCCTCCCTGGGACTAGAAACACTGCCCCTCCAGCTCAGGAAGGGGGACCCCATTCTGGGCAGTGCCTAGGTGGTCCCCTACCCTTAGCAACGCCCCCCCCCATCACCCTGCAGGCTGCAAACTGTTCAGCAAAGACCAGCAGGAGGGGTGGGGCTGCTGAGAACTGGTTCTTGTTTAAATATAAACCCATCTGATAATTAGCAAACAGCCCACTTCTAAAACAAACAAACAGGAGATCTGAACTCCATCCGCCCCACCCTTGACTCCTCCCTTCCCAACCTTGCAGCTGTTGAGGGGGAGGGAAGAAAGTATCCCAGGGACCCTGCGGGCTGGGGGGGGGGGGGGACGGGACTTTGGTGAGTGGGACCCTCAAAGGCACAAGGCCAGCTGGCATGGATGTCCCGCAGAATGCGGCCTCCCTACCAGCCCCACCGCAGCCCTGATGTTCTTACCCACCAGGAAGCAGAGGCTGGGGAGACCAGGTGACGGGTGACATGTCCAAAGCCTTGTAGCTAGGAAGGAGGTGGCTTTCGCAACTCTGAAGTTAGGTCTGTCTAACCCCAAGTCACTGTTCCAGTGCCCTCCTGACAGTTCCAGGAAGTAAAGGGAGAGGTGGGGGGCATCAGAGAAATCAGAGACTCCTGGGGTGCAAGCCCATCTGGACTACATACCAGCTTTGTTCTAGGAGCTCAGACCAGGGGCAGCTTCAGTGCTGCTTTAAGGGAAACAAAGGACTGGCTGAATTCACACCCTGTCAAAGTCCACATGGAGGAAGCACCGGGAAGGTCTGAAGCCTCGTACTAGCATTTCTTGGGCATCCCCTCAAATGTCCTGGACACTGAGACACTGACTGTCTTTAATAGGCTCTCAGGGGACAAGGTAAAACTCGAGCCCATTCCAACACCCTTACCAGAATCATCCTATTAGCCAAGAGGCTGAAAGGAAATGGGTGACTCAGGCCAGCCACCGCTCCCCCCCCCCGCCCCCCAGTGACTCACAGGCCCAGTCCAGCCCCCTCCCTCAATTTTAAATGGTCATTTGCAAATCACACCCACCAGTCCAGGAGGCTGAGAACAACTAGCAGCCAATTCCTCCCAAGAGGGAACTGGGGCGGGAAGCCCAGCCTGGCTCTCCCAGCTCCCCATTCAGGGCGGCCCTGCACTCCAAGTCCTTTGCAAAAGCCTTCTGTTCCCAGGAGCTGGGGGTGGCAGAAGCTGAATGTCTCCACCCCCCAGCTTCTCCCCTCGTTTAGGTTCTTTACCAAGGGGGCCAAGAAAGCTCCCCTCCCCCCATCAGTGTGTTTTCTGGGCAGGGAGGACCCTTGGAGGGCTTTGATCCTACCTCCTCATTACAGAGTTGGGGACACTGAGACCCAGAGATAGATAGGGAATATTTGCTTCCAATTCAGGAAGTAGAACCCAAGGTATCTGCCTTCAAACCCAGCCAGAATTTCTCATCTGGAATGTTCTCAGAGGACGCTCAAACCAGAGCGATAATACAGACACCTTGTATTATCAGAGACCTGGTTCTGACCTTGGCAAAGCCACTACCTTCCTCTGAGCAGTTTCCTGCATAAATGGAGATAATAAAACCTACTTCACAGTATCCCTAGAAGGCATTCATCTTCATGATAAATAACCTCAATGCACCCTTTAGAATGAAGTTCTGTGCATGAATTTATTCATTCATGCAAACATTTCCTGCGTACTCAGTAAGGGACAAGAATTTCGCTGAAGACGAACAGGGCAGAATTCTCCCCTGGGTGTGTGTGGGTGGAAGTGGTGTGTGTGGCGGGGCTGGGGAGATGCGGGTGAGACTCAGAATTTGGTGGGATGTATTTAATGCTCTCACAAACTTTAAGTTTCTTCAAGGGAGGGAATGCCTTAGAGGTGTAGGGTTTCTAGAGCCCCTTTCAAAGAGTAGATATTTAATTATTAATAGAATACTGGAGCTGAAAAGGGCACTCAAGGTCATTTGTTTCAAACCCCATTTTACAGATGGGGGACGTCAACCTCACAGAACCCTCCAAAGCATGGCCCAAGATACACTCTTTCGTAGCTCTCTGGGCTTTTAAGGATTCCACAGAGCTCTCGCTGACCATTCGAGGGCCCTAGAACCCCTGGGCTTCTGCCCCACTCCGGCCTCAGTGCAATCAAGGAGAGAATTTTCAAGGAGACCAAAAACATCTCTAAGCTAAAGTACGTTTCCCCAGAACCCACTGGGCCTGGTGCCACCTCAGCAGGCTCTGACCCTGGGCAGCAACACCTCTGGAGGGGTCCAGCTCCCCCAACGGGGCTGCCTTTAACTGGCTAGGGAAGGAGTGGCAGGAAGGCAGTTCAGGGGAATGCTCCCCGCTGGACAGGAAGAACTGGTTTGGGATGGCAAGCCCCGCCAGAGAAGAGGCTGCTGTCTGCTCAGCCTGGGTTCCCTTCCCCAAACGTGTGGCACCAAGCCCTTGGGGTGGGGGCAGGGTATCCCCCTAGGGGAGGGCAGGCCTTTGGCTTAAACTTAAAACTTGGGGAGGAGCCTCAATAGCACTATTGGACAGGGACCTCAGTTCCTGCATCTGTAAAGTGGGTATATAATATAATCCCCACGTGCTGGGGGGGGGGGGGTTGTGAGGATAAAATGCCCCAGACCTAGCATGTGGAAAACGCAACACCCCATAACTGCAATTAGCAAATCCCTTCTCCCGGGGGGGGGCCCTGTTTTCTCCACCTGCAAAAAGAAAAAGGCGGGCCTCCATTACATCGATCCAACTATGACTAGGTCTGATTTTTCCAGCCACAACCTTGGGAGGAAAGGGGCGGCGGAAGTAAAAGGGGAAGCCCTGTGACCCAATTCGAGGTGGAAGGTCCCTGGCATTAACCAGGAAGGGGAGTGCTGGGGTCAGGATGAGAGCCAGATACCTCTCTCAGGAAGCAGCTGCTCAGGGCCCGCTTCTCCCCCAGCTGATGGGTCGCCGCGAGAGGGCCGGCACAGCTGCCCTCCCCCAAACCGTATCCTTCTGACTGTGACTGCTCCTAGGACACAGCTGTCCTCACCCTGCAGCACCCGCGGACTCAGCAGCCTCTGAACCGAGACTGCCATGTGACTGCCCATGCAGTGACCTCACAACCTCCTGAGTCCTTCTCCGCCCTCCCCCTCCCCGCCCCCATTGTCCAGGCCAACAGGGCCCAACGTGTCATTCGTCTGGAGGGCTCCCCAGCTCCTGGACTCAACACATCTTTCAGGGCCTAATCTAGAGCACTGTCCCAGGGAGCAGCAGGTGTAGGCTGGAGTCCTGGCTCAGACACTAACCTTTTTGGTTTGGTTGCCCTTAGTTTGGGGAACTCATCACCTCACTCTGGGCCCCTGTTTCCTTCCACCTCAGAATTCCTTGTGACCAGCGCGCCCCAAATCGCAACAGATTCAGGACCGCCACTGAGAAAGCCTCACACTGCAGCTTATCCCAAGAGCAGGAACTTGGAAGCCTGGCAGCCTACATTTGAATGACTCAGCCCCTGATTAGCTGTGTGACCTTGGGTAAGTTAGCTAACTTCAGCCTCAGGACCAATTTAAGAACAGTAAACAGCAAGGTTGATGTCAGAATTAAGCAAGGTGATAGGGCATTAGAACAGCCATTGGAAAGCTATTAGAACACCATAAGGCACACCATAAGTGCTAAATGTTTGCTATCATCACTGCATGCCTGCAATTGTGCCGAAGCGTTATTCTCAGGGTCTCACGGATTCCTCAAAAGAAGCAGAAAAGACCTCCCCTAACCAAGCCCGGAGAAACAGGTGCCCCATAAAAAAATCGACAATAATTCAACTCCACAGACTTGATCCCTCTAAAAAGTGGGGGGGGCTTAATTAAGGGAATGAAGGGAGAAGCAACAAAGCTGGAGTTCTTGGGGGACAGAGACTCTCCCAGCAATTCCTGCTCCCCCAACTTCCCAGATGAGATTGCCACCCTCCTCCCCCAACACTGGGGGCGGGGATGAATGGAGCTTCTGGTGGCCCAGGACTTTGTAAAGTAGGACAGGGACCAGCGGGCAGTGAGGAGAGCTTCTCAGGGCTCACTGAGGCCTTCTGTCCCCCAACCCCCTTCACTCTACTCAGGGTGGGTTCTCCAATTTCCCTTCTGCAGTTTCTCAGAAATAAACAGCATTCTCGAAGAACGCAGAGGCTCGACTCTTGAAGTGCTGAGCCCAAACCATCCCTCTCCGGCTGCCCTCGGAAGATCAGTGTCCCAACTTTGTAGGGACCCTAAAGAGGCACTGGCCATCTCCTGCCGCGCTCTCTCTGCCTGTTGTACAGATGGGGAAACTGAGACTCAGAAGAGGCAGGGCTTTACCCAAAGTAACAAGCCAGTGTCAAGGCTGGGGCCAGACCTGAGGTCAGGGCTCAGTCCTTCACTCCCCGATGTGCGAAACAAGGCTGCGCACAACCCTCCCCTTCCCCCTTCCGAGTACGCTGCCCCTCGTGCCCAGGCCCTATCGGATTCTAGAGCCGCCACTCTGGGCGCTTACGGAGGGCGTGCAGGGGGATCCAGGGCCCCAAGATCACCAGGGGAGGGCGAGGGTGTGGAGAGGAGAAGAGGTGACACCGGCTTAGTCACGTCCGAGCCTGGAGCGCGCGGTGGGGTCAAGGCCAGGGGAGGCGGGAAGAGCAACAGGCAGGCTGGGGCGCACGTTCGCGCGCGGGAGCCACCCGGGCCCGGAGCCTCCCCCGTGCCCCGGGAGCCAAGTTTTCCAGCAAAGTTTCCCCCGCCTCTGCGTCTAGTTGGGGGCGGCGCAGACCCCTGAGCCCCCCCCATCTCAGGCCCCCCAGGAACAAAGGAGGCGCCAGGCCGCCCTCCGAGGATCCCCAAGCACCTACCGACTCGGCGGCGTTGGCGGGGACGCCCACGAAGAGCAGCAGCAGCGCGAACAGGCGGGCGGAGGCCATGGCACCGCGGTCCGCAGAGGGCGCGCAGGCGAGTGGTCTGGCCGGGCGCGCGGCCCTTCTTATAGGCGGGGGCCGGCCCCGCCCCGCCCCGCCCCGCCGCCGCACCCCGCCCGGAATTCCCCCGCGAAAGCTGGGCCTCGGGGCGCTGGGCCCGCCCACGCGGCTGGAAACCCCGAGGGACCGGCCAGTCGCGCGCGCCGCCTCCCGATCTACCCCGAGTCCTTGTCCCCTTTATTGCTTTGATTTGCCGCCAGATAGGCCCCCAGAGATCACTGCCTCTAACCCATGTCATTTCCCGTACCGGGGAAACTGAGGCCACGGGTGGGAAGGACTTGCCCAGGTCTTCAGTTTAGACCCGCGCTCCTCAAACCGAGTGCACTCCCTTCTAAGGATAAGGAAGACATTCCAAATGGGACGTGAACAGGCGTAGCCTTAAGGGGTCAGCACAATTTTTCTGTAAAGAGCTAAATGTTTTAGTCTGCGGGCCATTGGGTCTCATGCTCAAACTCTAACACAGGAGCTCAAAAGCAACCGTAAATACTTACAAGAAAGAGAGTGGCTGTGTTCTAATAAAACAGGACTTATGGAACAGTGAAGTGTGTATTTCATATAATTTTCACGTGTCACGAAAATTCATTCTTGTTTTGATTTTTCCCCCCAAGCATTTAGAAATGTGAAAACCATTCTTGGCAGAAGACTGAACGAAAACAACTGATGGGCAACCTTTTGGTTTTAGGATGGCTGACCTGTTTTAAGGGATTTGTTTTCCTCGTTTTGAATTTCAAAAAGTTTGATCTGAGAACTAGGCTGCAAGTCTGTCTCAGATCTACTGCCACCCTTTTTTAAAAGAAAGTTGTGGGGCGCCTGGGTGGCTAAGTTGGTTAAGTGTCCCACTCTTTCTGCTCAGGTCATGATCTCCCAGTTCGTGAGTTCTAGCCCCCTGTCAGGCTCTGCACTGACAGTGCAAAGCCAGCTTGGGATTCATTTTCTCTCTCTGTCTCACTTTCTCTCTCTCTCTCTCTCAAAATAAATAAATAAACTCAAAAAAAATGAAAGTAGGGTAGGATTGGGGGTGGTAATCCTCTCAGGCCCCCAAATACAGACCCCAAAGTACAGATACTGTTGGAATTATTAGAGGGAAGCATCCTATGATAATCAATCGAAGTACCTAAGGTGCCTAGACTTAACTCTCACCCTGATTGATTTCTCTTCGTATCTTTCTAGGGCAGAAGCATGGCTTCATAACCAGGGTGTTTTGACCTCTGTTGGGATACTGTGAATTCATATACTTTGTGAAGTAGAGAGTTGGGAGTGATTTCTCCTCTTTCCTCCCTTAATTACTATCAAAGAATGAAAATCTCATGTAGGGCAGAGATCCTTGGCCGTCAAGCAAGCCTCAAATGCCAATCATATTTTTACCCACGGATTTAAAGATAAGCAATTTTTTCCCCAGCTACTCTCATTACCCTTCCTTAGGATTGAGAAATAAACTGAGGAAATGAGTGAATTTCATGTGAGAATAAGAAATCCTTTCGCAAGTCAGATGGATTTCGCAATCTTTGCTTTCCACACAATTGAAGGAGGGCCTAATCTAATTGTCAGTACGTGGATCACTAAAAATAATCTTTGATGATAGAACACTATGCGATTTTGGTTATCTGTCAACACATCGCTATAACAAAACTCCTTTCATTCCCGCGGTGTGCTGGTAAATGTTCAACAATAAGTTGAGGCAAGTAGGAAGTGCTAATCTGTACCACTTGCCATTTTCTGTGGTATAAATACTCCCACTATAGCTGATTTCAAGCTACCTATGTGATTGTCACTAAACATAGAGTTGGTTAGAGATGAGCAATACTTCTACCACACAGAGTGCAAAATAATAGGTGCAAATAATATGAAGGGCATAGATAACAATAAAACAATAAAATGTAGTGAAGTAATTAGGAAATGATGAGTTTTGAGTATGTATTTCCCTTGTTTTAATAAAGTTTATATAATTGTAAGTTTAATTTAATTTTTAGCAATGGTCATGTTACCAAAGGTGTCTAAACCATCCACAAATTTCCTAAATGTTGAACCAGTACCATCTTGCTTTGGCACATCACTGATTGACAGCTATAAAAAATTAAAAATAGTAATAAAATTATTGCTAAAGTCCATCTCACTCTAGCATATACAGTATTTATCTAGGGACACATGACTATTTGGTAAGGAAACATTGTCCCTGTTTTAAGAATTACTTACAAAAAAAAAGAATGATTTATCATAATTTGTAGAACTGGGTTCACAAGTGTATGCATATGTCAAATTTGTACACCTTAAATATGTGTAATGTATTTTATTTCAGTTATATTTCAGTCAAACCATTAAAAATGTTTTTAGGACTCTTTTCTTTTTGGGGAGGGGTATATATCTTTTTTTTTTTTTTAAGTTTATTTATTTTGAAAGAGAGAAAGCAGGGGAGGGGCAGAGAGGGAGACACAGAATCCCAAGCAGGCTTAGTGCAGAACTTGATGCAGGGCTCAAACCCACAAACTGAAAGATTATGACCTGAGCTGAAATCAAGAATCAGACTCTCAATTGACTGAGCCACCCAGGTGCACCATTTTTAGGACTTTAAAAATTTGTAATATATTTACATTGTTTTGATCAATTGAATCTTTAAAATTTCAAGCATGCTCCACGCCCAGTGCAGAGCCGAAAGCAGGGCTTGAACTTGGGGTCTGAGATTAAGACTGAACCACCTAAGTGCCCCGATCAAATGCATCCTTATGATAATTATGATGATAAAAAATTGATGACACCAAGTCTTATGGTCATAGAAGGTAAAATAATGATCCAATTTACAAATATATATTTTAGGCAGAGAAATATGATAGAGCTACTAAGAGGATATTTAAAGCCAAAACATGGAAAAAGTCTAAGTGTCCATCAACTGACAAATGGATCAAGAAGATGTGGTTTATGTATACACTGGAATACTACATGGCAATGAGAAGGAATGAAATCTGGCCATTTGTAGCAACATGGCTAGGACATGAGGGTGTTATGCTGAGCGAAATAAGTCAGGCAGAGAAGGACAGATACCATATGTTTGCACGTATAGGTGGATTAGGAGAAACTTAACGGAGGACCATACGGGAGAAGAAGGGGAAAAATAGTTGGGGAGAGGGAGGGAGGCAAACCATGAGAGACTCTAGAATGCTGAGAACAAACTGAGGGCTGATGGGGGTGGAGGAGAGGGAAAGGGGGATGATGGGCATGGAGGAGGGCACTTGTTGGGATGAGCACGGGGTGCTATGTGGAAACCAACTTGACAATAAACTATTTAAGAGAAAAAAATTAATAAGCTATTTAAGCATCAAAAAAAGAACATTATGGTGGGGGCACCTGGCTAGCTCAGTTGGTAGAGCATGTGATTCTTAATCTCAGAGTTATGAGTTCAAGCCCCATAGAGTGAGGAGCCTACTTAAAATTTAAAAAAAAAAACATGGTAAAAAATTTTAAGTTTATTTATTTATTTTGAGTGAAAGAAAGAGAGAAAGAGAGCAAGGGAAGGACAGAGAGAGAGAGAGGGAGGGAGAGAATCCCAAGTAGGCTCCACACTGTCAGTGCAGAGCCTGTCTTGGGGCTTGATCTCACAAATCGTGAGATCATGACCTGAACCAAAATCAAGAATCTGATGCTTAACTGACTGAGCCACCTGAATGCCCTGTACGGTAGAATTTTTATGTGGTGAAATGTGGAGTGGAAATTTGAGTTTGAATAGAAAAAAAGAATGATTTAAAGTTTCCATTAAAGAAGAGCCTATTATTTATTTACTATTTATTATCTCTATATCCAACATGGGGCTCAGACTCACAACCCCAAGATCAAGAATTGCATGCTCTACCCACTAAATCAGCCAGATGCCCCTGTTCATGTATTTTTTAAATGGATAATTGTAGGTATCAAATTGCTAGGGTGTTTCATTCAACTGGATACATTTAAAATAATGACATAGACATTTATTTTTCAGTAGATGAACTTACAATATGTCAAAAATTAGAACCTTTACAACTCTTTAAACTTTGGATGAAGGGGTGGACTTCATCCAATGAGCCTGGGTGGCTCATTTGGTTAAGCATCTGATTTGACTCAGGTCATGATCTTGTGGTTCACAAATCTGAGCCCCCCATCAGGCTCTGTGCTGACAGCTCAGAGACTGGAGCCTGCTTCAGATTCTGTGTCTCCCTCTCTTTCTGCCCCTCCATCGCTCACACACTGTGTCTCTTTCTCTCAAAAATAAATGAACTTTTTTTTATTAAAAAAAATCTTAGGATGAAAAAGGTTAGCAGCCAACTAAAAAATGTGTCGGAAGTACATCATTTTCAATAAACATTTGGAGAGCACGCTAACAAAAAAGATTGAGTAGTGCCAGTTTAGACAGTGGAAGCTCTTCTATAAAACTATACTAACCTCCTGAAATGAAGAAATTAATTTCACCTTCTCCAGGTTCTGAGAATCTCTCAGAAGTCATGAAACACGTTTGAATGTAGTTATTTGAAGACTTGTGGAGTTTTAACCTGTGCTTTGTGGGCTGGGGACAAGGGGGAATATGGACGGTCACCATTCCATAGGGTTTGTGTCTCTATGCAAATTTCTGGGGTAAGACACTTCAGGTTCTCTCTTCCTGACCCCCAAGAGGTTAAAAGCAATTTCAACAGACCCTGAGGCCCTTTGAAATATCTCAGTGGTTTCCTCTTTGGCTCCCACAAAACAAAATGTACTAGTCAAAGGTTTGCTGAATTGAACTGAAGTCCCTAATTCCCTACATGGGACTGAAGTAAAACAAAACAAAACAAAACAAAACAAAACAAAACGATAACCAAGTTAACACAATCCACAAGGGTCTTAGGGCCAGAAGTTCTTGATTAAAATCCTGTTTTCAGCACTTGCCAGTTGGAGGAAGGTTTGAAAGTCATTTTGCTCCTCAGTGACATGGGGGATAAAAGACCTACCTCTTTGGGACCGTCAG